TTTTTAGTATTTATTGTTTCAGCTATATGCTCAGAAGTTCAAAAGAAAAAAAGCTCTTATTACTGCTGTTCCTCACAGCAGAATTTATCAGTAAAACTAGCAAGAGAAGCAGGATGAATATAGTAGTCTTACTACTACGGAAGTCTCGCAGTATAGTATCAGAACAGATCTTCATTAGCATCCTGGGCTGCATTAGGAGGAGTGCTGCCAACAGGTCGAGGGAGGTGATCCTTCCTCTCCACTTGGCACTGGTGAGACATCTGAAGTACTGGGTCCAGTTCTGGGCTCCCAGAACAAGAGAGACATGGACATATTAGGGTGAGGCCAACGAAGGGCCATGAAGATGATTAAGGGGTTGGAGCATCTGACATACAAGCAGAGGCTGTTCAGCCTGGAGAAGAGAAGGCTCAGGGGGATCTTATCAGTGTGCATAAATACCTGATGGGGAAGAGTAAAGAAGGCGGAGCCAGGCTCTTCTCAGTGGTGCCCACTGAAAGCACAGAAGGCAATGGACACAAATTGAAGCACAGGGAATTCCATTTAAACATAAGTAAATGCTTTTTGCTGTGAGGGTGCTTGAACACTAGCACAGGTCACCCAGAGAGGTTTTGGAGTCTCCACTCTAGGAGACACTCAAAACTAAACTGTGCACAGTCCCTTCCAACCTCAGTGATTCTGTGATTCATTTTTTGCCACTGCAAAGTAAGCTTTACCCCCTCATTTTTTATTTTCATACCAGTGCTTACTACAAACTAAAGTCATCTTACGGTCTTAAAGGCAGGGAAAATAACGTGTGCAGAGTTAAGCATCATACTACTATACCTGACAGCTCTGAAAACCTACAGGAAAAAAGAAAGGAAGGCTAGAAGAAAATAACAGAGGAAAGCTACAACACTAGTTACTAGTTTTGCACAGAGCTTGTATTTTTCATAAAAGAAGCTCTCAGGAGTATGTTATACAAACTAGCAATAAGAAGTTAGCAATAAGAAGTTTTTTACAGTCTTCTCTCAGGAACTGCCAAATTAAAGCAGCAGGTGAAAATTATGTTAAGACGGTAATCCAAAAACGATCAAAAGTCCAAAAGTGGTAGAAGATAGTTTCAAGAAACCAAAATGAAACACAGAAGAAAACAAAGTCACAGAAAGCCCACAAAAATAAAGGAGAGAGAAACAGAAACAACAACAAAAAAGGTATTCAGTACAAAGAACATTACAAACCCCAAGAAGCAGATCTGCCAAATTTCAAAAGCCCTCCCTCTGAAAAAGTCAGTAGCTCTTTCCCCTACCTAGCCAAATGGATGCAGAAGCTTACAAATACCTTGTTATCCAAATCCAATGTAAATATCAGCCTAAAACCTCCTAAGTGAAACTCGGTAAACTCAATCTTATCCTTACGTTTCAATTTGTTCCTGCATCCAATGACAGTCAGAAGTAATGTTTTTGGTAAATATGCATAGTTGATAGATGCTAGAAGAAAGTAAGCACAGCTCATGCAAGGATTAGCTTGGTTCTGAAGCAAAAGTCCTTCCAAGCACAACTGCTGCTGAAAAATCAACTGAAATAACCAATATTAAAAAAGCAAACTTTAAGAAATTATCTTTACTAGTTCAGTGAAAGTTTAAGCGCCCTGTCATTTCTTTCAGCACAGAAAATGGATGCCATAGATATACGAAAAACATAGCATATGGGTACTGGCTCAAAAGCTGATATTCCTGTAACAGTCTGAAAACACTTATCCTCTCTAAATACTTACAGTACACTCTTGCATCTCCTGTTCCTTAGTTGCCAGCCTCATCACCAGAATATTTTCTCTTCGGGCAGACTCTTGCTGTTGCTGTTTCAGCTTCTCTTCAGATTCTCTCAATCCCGTCACATCATTAGCTAATAAAAGTAATAAAACACAAAAAGCACATGTTTTATAGCATCCTCTCATGAACAGTTTTTAAAGACAGCTAAATGAATCTGAAAACTAAATTCATAAACAGCAAAGAGCTAAATAAATAAGCATGACTATAATAAACATAATAAGCATAAATAAGAAAAATAAAACATCATTAAGTATTAGAAAGGCTTGACAACAGTTGGTTTTAAATACATCTTTCTGATCCTTCCTTAAGACTTACTGAAGTTTTGAAAATGTTTCCATGTTTATATAGGAAATAACTTTTAAATTGCTGGCTTAACCAACTCCTACTACAACTTGCAGTCTGAAACTCACGAAGTTGGAACTGCCCTATAAGAAATGTTGAGGCCAGAGTGGGGCAGGGGGGAAGTCTACACTCTGGCAAAAAACAATCCGCAGTCTGTAAAACAGTGCCATTTGTGGTCTATCCTCAGACTGGTCTCCACACTCCATGAGTAAACAGTAAGACATTAGAGAACTTCAGAAATGGCAGTTCAGTCGCAACGAGAAGAACTCCTCTGATCCATGAATATTTATGAAAGTTTATACATGAAATATGAGAGAAAGCAGCACAGCACTTTTGCAAATTACTCAAACAGGAACAAGTGCAAGCAGCCTGATACAAACAGTATACATTCACTCTGCTACGTATCACATATAAAATGATGGAAAATTTGAATAATTAAGATTTTTATTCTTTCTAATTACTTGAGAATGATCGCATGTAAATGTAAACTACGAACATCACAAATTGCTTCAGGACAATTTTTTCTAAATAATTCTTTGCAGATAATTCACTAATACTGGTTACTACAACCTGTATTAGTTTCCAAAATTGAGAAACTGGGAACATTAAAACAACTTATTTATCTATGTTATGACAGTTTGAGATTAGAATGAAATCAACTGCTTATATTTGCTATATTTCAGTCTCTCCAAAACTCAAACATTACGGGGTGGCAGTATAAGACGGATGTAACAACAGAGAAAAGTGAGAGGATATCCATTCGGACTGACAGAAAAAACCCTTCAAACTCAGTGGTACTAAGTCTGTAAGTATTTAGACTGAAAAGGTGAGCGGAAAACAGGAAAGAGCCTGTCTCTAGCTGCCAACACAATTTTTAAAAGTGACTTAGGATTGGTGATTCAGTCACTTCCAGAACATATCCAGCTCTTCTCATTTAAGAGTAGGATGTTTTTCCTATATTCTCTTTTGAAACACTCAAGTGCAGACCAAGTTTTAAAGACCACATAAGACTGACATTCAAATAGTTAATGTGCCTAATCAGATCAAACATTATTTGGGGACTAATTTTAGACCTTTACCTCTACAAACTATTCCCCCTCCCATGTGGTTTACAATCCTGTAAGACTACTGAAAGCACAAATGGAGTATTTTGGTAGAGGATAACATTTCCCTTCTAATGGAAAAGTCATGAAAATACACCTATTTGTGGGGTTATGTTTTGGGACTTTTCCCCCCTAGCAGTCTGAGAAAGTTGGGAAATGCTGAAAACTTACACTAGAAAAAACAGGGGTTTTTTTCGGACAAATAACTGACATATAGATTATTATCTCTTATTTCTAACAGTTGTAGAAAGCACAGACATTACTTGCACACTCTGCTTTATACAAACATTCAGGTAACTCGTACCATTTTGAAACTTGGCTAACTTACAATTAAGGTCTGTGTACTTGCCCTCCAGAGCTTGCACGTATGCTTCATACTGTTTCCACCTATTGCAGAGATGAAGAGAAAAAAGAAGTTTCTGAAGTTCAGTTTATTAAATCAAGGCATCTAATTTCTAAACTTTCAGAATATACATTTATACCATAATCAGAAAATGTCAAGAGGGAATTACACAATTGGAAAAAAGTCTAATTCTAGTTTTAAAAATGGGCCTTTTAATCATGGAAATAGTTAAATCCATTTTGCATCTCAAAAGGCTAAAAAGGTAGCTGTGCGTTACAACACTTAAAATTGACATCTTAAAACTTACTGTAACATTTTTGACAAACATTGCAATCAAACACTTACTACTTAGTTATCTGTGTAAAGTACTTAAGATACATCTCATTCTCAAAGCAGAACAATTCAAACAAAATGCTGTAACAGAAACCATAATACAAAGACAAGATTAAGTCTTATCAAGTGAACAAGACGACAAGCAGAAGTGTATTACAACATACTAGAATTCACAGCCTAGGTTAAATAGTTATACCAGCTCATTCAAACCAAGACCATACTCTGATTATATTCATAACCAGAAACCAAACAGTTTAATAACTCTTTTAAGGCATATTATTTAAGCAATTAATCCACAGTCAGAAAACCTCACACTTAAAAACACCATTGCATCTGATACAAACCATCAAATCAATACCAAATAAACTCTGCAGTAAAGCTTAGCACAACAAAGCTTAGCCTCACCAACAAAGTTCACAGGATGATGTTTCAGGGGGGTTTTGTTTGTTTTTAAAGAAGTACTTTGCTTCTATCTATGCATCTTCCTCACAATGGTACAATTCCACATTATGAAACAAATTCATCTAACAGCTTACCACTAGAGAAGGGGAAGGTTTCTGTTCCCTCCTCCCAACTACCCTTTCTCCCTGCCACCTATTTTATGCCAGACTCAACGTAACTGCTCTATTTTAACTCCCTAACCTACACCACCACTACCTCAATTAAAACTATAAAATCTAAGTCTAGATCATTTTTGACCATTTAGTGAATTCAAATAGCTTGTTAAAGAGTCTAAAAAGCATCAGATCTGTAACAGCAAATGAGATCACATCACTGGGAAAAGCAAAAGTAAGCAAAAGATTTCTTCCTCCTAGCAGCAATAAAGTTTTGCATCTCTTCAGCTGAACATGAAATCAGCATGAATTAACCCTCTTAAGCTCTGTAGAAGAGAGCAGTTGTATTCCCACTTAACTCAAACTTATGTCTCTGCTCTAAAAAGAACATTGTTAGAAACAAAAGTTTCACTGTTTGACAACTAAAAGTTCTAAGTTAGTTCAGGAGATTTCAATCCCCTAAAAGTAAAAATGAAACAGTCTACTAAATAGCAAACCCAGAAAGAACGAACCTAATTTTTACATGAAAGAATTACATGAAATTCATGGTCTTCAAATACAGCTGCAGAATTACTTGACTTCTAGGTTACATCACACACACACACCCCCACACACCCCCGCCCCAACAACAGGAGCTATACAAAGAGCAAGTGAAATGAAGACCTGAAACACAAGTTAAGTAGACGTGACAGACCACCACCGGAAAACAAAAAAACCACACAGCCTGTGGTCTACCAAGAATGTCAGAGATAATACCTCTAAGTCACCTCTCAACAACCGCTAGTGTTTAAGCAAGAACTGAATTCCTGGAAAAGAAAACCCAGAAGTGTGCTAGGCCATGTCACGGACTTTTGAAGTCATGTGCCTGCCAACTCTCCTAGAAACATGACTCTTCAGACATAATGTTTTGTCAAAAACCTGGCAAAGACTGTTGCAGTTCATCTTCAAGAAAGTTCACAAAATTGTACAGATTAAAATTGTGATCACCACACTGACATACTCAGAGAGAACTCTTCAACAATCAAGCCATCAATTTTGAAACTTGAAGTTTTTTTACCACAGTAGCTTTAATTTCACACACATGCACTGTCTCAATTTTGCTACAACTACAGAAGATCCCAGAAGCAATTTTCTCTTCTAGCAATTGATCTGGATTTCACCTCACTTCAGGCAAACCTGAAAGCTAGCAACTATAGAGGCAAAAATCAGAAGCAGGCTTATTTCACGTGATTAAAAAAAAAAAATTAAAATAGACAATCAAATAGACTAAAAGCATCAAAACAAAAAGTGAACTAATAAAAGTTTAAAAACATTCACATTAATGAAATAGACCACTCTTACAACTAACTTCAGCTCAGGAAAATAAGCAAATATATGGGTAAGCCCTTACTGAAAGGGGACTGATTCCTTTTCAATCAAACTTGCAGTTGTGATTCTTCATCTGATGTGTATATATTTTTGTAGTGATCTCAGTAATCCTGAGGACTAACATGTCAAAATATTTACTAAATATATCAACAAGACAGTTTCTCAAGAACATTTGTGAAACCAAGTTAAAGGAAGAAAAACAAAGACTTTCTTTTGAGAGAGAGAGAGAGAGAGAACTTTGACTAGTTTTAGGTATTTTAAAAACAGTCTTTTGATGGCCCTGATAATTTTGTTTTCACTTAAGTGTCTATTAACTGACTTAAGACTTTAAACACCTTTTATAATTTCTAAGTTCTTAGTCTTCTCTTGTAGTAACTTTTGTTGTTTGCTGCCTTTAACAATCTATTTTCCTAAATACTGTCTTTCCAGCTTCTTTCACTGTGATTGTATTCTCTTGTTTACAGTAGCAGCACAGATCATTAATAGAGGGAATTAAAATGGAGTTCTGATCTTTGAAAAGCTAAAGTTCAAATTGTAGCTTCTGAAGTTATGCAAAAGAAAATAAAAAGGAAAATAAGGAACTATCACAGAATAAAGTATTTTAAAAAAACAAAGATGCTGAGGATGATTGACAGTATTTTTAGTGCTCCAACTTTGAACATTGCTAACGCCTGTCTTTTTATTCCTTCTTCTCTGTTTGTTATGTCTACACTGGTAGAGAAGACCAGATGATACTATGATCAAACAGAACAGGTGTAAAACTCTGTATTTCTAGGTCTCGGAAGACTACATGAGTGGTGTTTGAATCTGTAACATCATTCTCTAAATGAACAATTCTCACAGAAAATCTGTTTTTACCTGAACAATAAAAGGGCAGTATTTCTAGATGCACAACTTTGGTCTTGCATTGTACAACTGAATCTCCATGCACAACAGTTTTACTTCTATACTTTTTTCAGTAACGTGGACTCCCAGCTGCTGATACACAAGGCTGAGGTGAGCCTGCAACCCCATCACATGAATCTCACTTGGTAAGTTTTCATACAGAGCTTGAAAGAGGTTACAAAGACAGCAAGTTTGTGGAATGTTGTAATTACGCCTTTCCTCAGTGATGGAATCTCAGCCATGCCATGTTGAAACTAGACAGCAGAAGCTGAGACTAACCTAGCAGTGGATGCAGCATCACCTAGAAATCCCAGCTACCAAGCACAACTCCAGTACAGTCCAAAGGTTCAGAGCTACAAGTTCTTTTTTTTTTTTTTTCTCAAAAAAAAAAAAAAAAAAGGCAAATATGATCTGAAGCCTCCATTAGGCCCTCCTGCTATCAGGAAACAGGTAGAAAAAGTCAACTCACAGATGTCACCATATACCACAAAGTAGGTCTTTATTTCAGTCCAGTTAGAAATTTTAATGCAAACTGTATCCAGAAATATTGTAATTCTCTGCATAAAAACATGCAACTTCCACATAAGACACCAGAGCACATTAAAGACCTCTGATAAATTATGAAGGTTTCTACATAAATAGCATTCCTAAAAATTACATCCTTCAAACGTTTTCCAGCTAGCTTGCACTACAAGCTCTTCAGGGAAAAGATTCTTGACCCTAAATTCATTCTAAAGTTCAGTAAAAGAAACATGTTCAAAAAAAATCAGTAGTGCTACAAAGAGAAATATCATTCCCCCCCCCCCCCCCCCAAAAAAAAAAAAAAAAATTGTCAGAATTAAAATTTGAAGATTGCTACTAGCACATCTTCAACTACAGGAGGAAAGCATTTCCCCCTGGGAAACTTTTTTGCCTTACTTGAAGATTATACATCCCTTCTACCAGGTTTCATCTGCATGTAGTACCTGCATTAGTTTAAACTTTTTTTATAGACATAGGTAAAATCAACACTTACAGTGACATAAAAATCTTTGTTAACCTATTTAAGAATTTGCACACACTTGCAAAAGCTTCTTTAAATAAACCAGTGACTTACAGGAACTTGCTAGCTAGACCTTATGTCTGAAGCCTTTCTTCCCAAGATCCAAGAGAGACAGAATTCTCTTCACACATGTAATCTAAGAGATGCATTGGTTTAAGCAAACATGAGAGTTGCCTTGACCTCCTTACCCCATATTGCCCCTTCTGGTACATCTGCAGGGGACTCAGGCAGTTCATCAGTGAACTTCAGTGGCTAAAAAGACAAAGGCTAAAAGCCAGCTTTTTTCTCCAATCAGTTCAGTTTCACTCAATACCAGCTCTTGATCTGTTTAGTAGTTCATGTCAGTAAACTGATGGCTAAACAGTGACAATCCGAAGAGCTTCACTGAAGTGCTACTTGGAAAGGCACTAAAGAACAGAGACAGAGCTGTACACAGAACTAGGAATCAGCCCTGAATCCGATTTACATTCAAGGGGTCACTTACAGTGTCACAAGAACTGGAAGATAATTGGGCACCATTATGTAGGTTAGTTAATTCCCTTCATTCTCTAAAAATATTAAGCAGACTTTAAGACTCCATGGCTTCAAAATACCTCCATAAATACCACTATTTTTCTTGGAACACCCATTTTTTATGCTGAGCTTTGGGGTTCACTTTTTCCAAGAATAAATGATAAGCACTTACTGGGTAGGGCGCACACAGCATTCCACCTAAGCCGTTCCAAAAATGACTGGCTGTAAGTCCATGTTGATTGAAGTGCAGTAAAAGCACTGTATTTCCTCAGAACTGCTTGTGTACATCAGGGTGCTTCAATGTTTTACAGACTAACTACTAGGCTAAACAATCAGGGCAATACTGATCAGATTTTTAGCTATGATCCACAGAGTGCTTTGTTACTGTGTTCCTGGCTCTTCTTTCTTCACAGAAATCCTACACAATCAAGCTAAGTAGCTACTGCATTAAAGGGGAAAGATGAAGGAGATGAGTACACAGCAACAAGTAATGAGACAAGCAGAAATTCCCAAAAGGCCAGACTGAAAGGCTTCCTGTTGATCCTGCTCACTTTTAATCGACAGAAGTTAAAATGAGCAAACCTGAATTATGTACTTCGTGGAAAAGAACAGTGAAATTGGGATTCATGGCAGACGAACTGACAGAAGAAGAATTAATATTTTCTACATATGTATTTTATCAGTGCAATTGTTCAGCGATGATGATGTATTATCTAAAAGATCAAAAGCAGATACCACATGTCTGTATCTTAAAAAAGCATTTGCCCCCCAAAGCATGGACCAAAAAAAAAAATGCATTCCAAATCTTAATTTAAGACAATCCAGTAGTGGTCAACACATGCTTTTCTATGTCTGAAAGTAGTAAAGATGCCTTTGATTAAAATATGATATACATATGTGTTATATTTTATTCCAACCTACAAATAAAGCCAGCAGTTAGCGTAGTAACTGCTACTTTTATGTGAAATCACAATTAAAGGTGAACTTACTATAAATCCATTAAATATGCACCCCATTCAAAATAAAACCAACAGCATTTGTAGGACTGCTTAATACAAGCAAATAAAATGGACATGGCCAAAACGGCATTTAAGTTTCCACTTCTGGGTATAACAGTCAGTTCTCCTTAAACCCATCAAGTGGCCTTTTTGAAAGCAGAAGTTGTTTTGTCTACACTAAGAAGATTCGATAGCAACACATCTGTCATTAGCAAATTCCCTCCTGTCTCTTCATTGACACTGTTTAGCTGCTGACATACTTTACATCCTTGGGTGTATTTCATCACATTCTTACTTGAATATACGCTGGAAATAGATGTCTTCTATGGTAGCAACTAATCATTGCAAGTTACAGAAACTGATTACAATTGGAAGCCTCTTTTTTGTTTTCACACTATCAACCAGAAAGCAAGTTGCACAGAATCTACGCTTTGGTACTTTGACAGGAATTTTATAGCTGGAAGTAAGGGCATAGCTTTACAGACTTAGGAGTTCGCTATTCCTGGAGATAATCTTGAGTACAGAAACTTTTATGAAAAGGTTCACAAGACCTAAACCACGTAACATCAAAGAAGCATTTTTTCCTACTGTTTAAATGCATTATCCTTTACTATCCAAAATACTAGATACTCAGAGGAAGCCAGAAACCATTTTTAAACATATGGAGCGAGACTACGTTGACTCCTCTGGAAAAAACTGTGACCGCAGAAGTAGCTGGCAGGATAGTTTGCCCAGAAGAGGGAGTAGTTGATCATATACATTAAGTGTTGCACTTGTATCCATGTTTCTACATGAGACAAGTTTAGTCTTTGGTCTATGAAACAGCAGTATTTAACTTGACATTTAATATGAACATTTAATAATGCTAACAACTTACAGTGTACAAAAAACCAAGAGCTGAAGTTTACCAAAATGCACACACAAACTACTCTAGCAGATAAACAGATGACCCACAGATGCCTAGTTTAATTAGCTCCTTGTTTTCAAATCAGGAAATTTAGGTAGTAGACAGACAAGTGGCTTGGGTCGGTTTCTTTAAGCAGGCAGTCTGTGTGACAGGATTGCCTATTATTTTTTCCATGGTAACACTTAGCTTTCTAAAAAGCAAAAAGGACGGCCAGGCCCTTCTTTATGCAAGTTCTAGGTGATGAAAACATTTTAACATTTTACTGTTAATAGCTGAACATGCTGAGAAGACAACTGTGCAGACTAAGAAAAACTAAAACCTACTGTAGGAGTAAGGAGTTGATATTTTTCTGCTGTTTAAAAATAACTTGCGATCTAGCAAGGAATGCAAGCAACCGTATCTTCTAAAGTTAAAAGTGAAGAAAAACACTCCTACTCACGTATTACAAAATATTTTTCAAGATTTTGTCTCTTTGGAAAGTGTTTCCTCCCAAACTATACATAAAAATATTTGAGACAAGACGAGAACTTTACAGAAGAGATGTATCATGAAAATGATAAAATAGTTTTTCAGAACAAGGATGCTAAAAACAATGGAAGAGGGAGGTCACAAATCTTCCGTTAAAAGTTCATTAAAATGTTGAGATGGAAAAACTGCTTTTTACTTTACCTTAGGATGAGCTCGTCTCTAGGTAAAACCTTAAAATCTGCTTCACTAAGGCGAACCTATGGAGCAAAAGGAGAAGCACAACTTTTCAAGCTGTCGTGATGACCTGGGGGGTGCGGGAGGGAAAGTCACAAGTATTTTTAAACATACCTTCTTTGGGAGAGGTTCTTCATTCGTCATTGTGAACTCTGAAGGGGGAGGAAAAAAAAGGAGTTTTATTTAGTGTAGTTACTACTGTACATAAACTAGTCAGAAACTTGTACTTCTAGCCTTATTTTTTTTTTAATTTGCAATATGAAGACTACTAAAATATTGGTTCCACACAATGCAGAACCAGAGTACAAAACAACACTATGACAAGTTTGCTGCTGTAACCTAGATACAAAGTCAGATGCATTTTTTCTAAAAATTAACCAAAGTTTTCTTTAGATGTCTAAAAAGCCTATCAGTAATCAATTCTTCCTACTTAACTAAGCAAAACCACCTAACTTTGTCCATATTTATTTAGATCAAACTGATGTTTCGTATGTGCCTACATCTATTTAACACTGTATTTTACGAGGCAGAGGATAATCAGGGTCTAGGGAAAGTAATTTATACTACTACTTCAGTATCTCTTTGGAATAAAAGTACATAATTTGTGAACATTACCACTAATGTTTGGGTTATGTCAAAATAACATGTTCTTCCAAGTACTTATTCTCTTACTTTTAAGATTCTGATAAACAGGAAGTATTAAGCAGTTATTTTAAAATCCCTGTGAATATTTTTAGGAAAAGTAAGATGTCAAATAAACGGCTTCGATACACCGTCAAATTCAACTCCTCTTGTGTGTATGCAGAATAACAGGATTGCATTGTGCTAGGTTAAATATTCACACTTCCTTGAGTTACAGGACATGCTTCCTTACCTCAAAAGGATAATACACACTGTTTTCTGTAACTATGACTATATGAAAAATATTGAGTCTGCAAAGATTATAAGCACACAAGTGACAATGAATGCAAGGTTTGCTAGAGGCATGCATCTTTGCAATATGCTTTCCAAAAGAAAGGTTGCATACAATATTAACATTCCACAGCATACAATATTAAGATTCCACAAGCTTGTAAAGCTGCTGCAATGCACGTATACCAGGGAAAGGATGTGTCAACTCCTTGGTTGTGAACACTTAGCTTGACAAAAACAATGCTCTCAAGCAGTTAAAAAAATACTTTATTTTCTCAAAAAGACTTTTACAGACTACCTTAGGTATTTTCACAACGACACCCAAGGAACTAATTTAACTTTTCCAAATCCTAAGACAAACGAATCCTAAAATGGTTTGTCAATGGGTCAATGAGACAAACAAATACACACCCAATGAAGTAGAGCCTCTTCAACCTACACTAACCATTGACAAATACACAGCACTCTAGCAAACAAGGCCCTGGTTTAAAAAAAAAAAAAACAACAAAAAACACCATCCCCAAAAAAACCCAAACAAAAAACCCCACACCAAGTACAGTGCACAGATGAAACAACTTCCAAGCCTTTCATAAAATAAAAACTGACATTAGAACCCACGGAAAGGTTTCCAAACACATTCAGTAGAAGCATTTCACCAACGAATGGCAGCTTCCTGTTCCTAGTCTAAGTAACACACAGGCACTTAAGTGCTTCCCTAGCCTAAGAAGTCCTCCCCCTCCCACCCCACCACCTTCCCTCTCGCACACAAGTTACTCAAGCATTTTGCTTTAACTTCTGGATGAGCTCCTTATTTGAGACTGTTTTACCAAAAACGTACCTTAAATATATTCAAGCATAAGAGGCTGTCGATACAAACTGCTGGTGCCCAACTCAGTCATCCAAAATAACACAGAATAACTTGAGATCACAGGAGGAATGCTTGTGACCCCTGTATTTAGGTTGCCTACCTCTCCCACTATAATTTTCCTAAAGATTTTTAGAATCTTTTAACTCCTTCAGTGTTTGGAAGTAGTCTTGAAGATCTCAGCAAGATTTAAATCCTTGACAGAGAGAAACATGCTTTTCAGGTGTCCCACAGAACTACAGCTAACACAGATGATGTCAAGTCATTATCTGTGTTCCTCAGAAAAGTACCAGAAGCATACAAATACCAAAAAAGGTGAGTTTCCCCAAAGACTTGGCTTATGAACCCTGCAGCAGCATGCAACAATTATAAACACCTGATTGCTCCCACAATCATGACTGAAAGAAATCAAAGGCTAATGTTCCATCTAAGGGTAGCCTACCTCATATCTCCAGACCTCGCACAAGGTTCCAGCAATCCAGTTCTCTACAGCAGCACCAGACCTGGCTGCTCTAACCTCTACGCTCAGCACACCACCATTTACAAAGCTCTCTCTTGCTTTCAGACAAGCACGAAAGTGCTGAAGACTGAGCTTACAGGCCACTGCATTATGGACATTACTGTTACTGTCTTACTGCCACCTATTATCACTTGTAGTGATAGAACCGTACACCAAAAAAACCACACTAGCTAAAAATATTCTGCAGGTTATTTTAGAAAAGCTAGGTTGATCACATCTACAGATAAATACTAGCACTCTTTCTGTATGTGTGAATTTCACCTCACTACTCCCATGCAACAGCTTTTCTGGCACCTACAGTAACTTACCAAAAGCTTAGAAATGTATTACTGTTATATATTTCTACCATTGTGCTCAGTGTTTTTCAGAAACATTAAGAGCATCAGGCTGACTACATCAGTTGTCACAGTGATTTGCCTTAGGTTTCTTTCAATTCAGAAATTAATTTGTATGCTACGGACAATAATATTACAATTGAAATGTTCATTCTTTGAATTTAATATAGTAACTTCTAAAGCACTGTGCAGCAAGAGGTGCTTCTCATCGCTTGGCTCTCCTCTGAAAGAGAAGATGATGTCTCTCCTACGCAGATCAGAAATATTTTGCAAGAGCATGATGAAGTGTCATTTTCTACAATAAAAAGAATCAACAAAAACAACACTCCTGTATAACCGGCTAGAATTAACACAATTCTATTTTGTGATTTATATGATGAACAACTTAACTGTACTATGCTAACTAAGCACTTTCATGATTTTGGGAAAACGATGGCTGCTACATGCCACTCCTTCTGCATATCTGCTCCTGGCAACAAGCAATATAAAACCATATTCCATACTTAAAATAATATTGTCATGAGCACTGAAAGAATTTTCATGTAATCTCATGATGTTTTAGGCTTTTATGGCACTTTAAATATGAAGAGAGATGAAACAGAGAATGTGCATTTTAATTTTGGGAACTCCAGTACTCTGTACAGCTTTTATTACAATGTTTAGAAAACATGGGATTTAAGGATTAAAAAAAAAAAACAAAGTAATTAAATAACATAAGGTATGCTGCTTTACGAGTTACACCTGAAGTAACTGCCAGTTATTTTAACGATATGAAAAAGAGTTCCGCGGGGAAAACCCCGGCATAGGCTATAGGCTCCCGAAATACGAAAAAAGCTTCAAAATAACACTCTGCCTGGGCAGATTTCACACTCGCCTCAGCAACCGCGGTCTGAAGCCAGGTCCCGCGCCCACCCACCCCGCTGCAGACGGCGAGGCCCCGCCACGCAGCCCCGCCTCCTGCGCGG